AACTTTCTGCCTAATATTGGGATCAACGACCTGGCACGTTTGGGCGTTACAAGATTGCTCAACGGTCACATCCTATCTAATCGGCATGCAATTTCAGCAGTAGGATCGTGGGGCTAAAAAAAAATCCTTCGTTCTTCCCACTTATTTATTTTGTTACCTTGGCCATTTATTGCCAACTAGGACATCTTAGTCCATTTTTTACTTTCCACTTGGGGCATATCAGCCGTTTATCATCTCGGCACCTCTGCTATGCATGCATACTCGACCCACTTGATACAAACATTACAAAGAACGACAATTACTTGACCAAGCTCACGTTCCTTTTCACACAGCTCCAAGCAAGCGACAGTTTTGCGCAATACACTCATACTACACGTTTGGCTACACACTCGGTAGTTCTTTGCATATTTTTACGCGTCATTATTGTTATAGCTTTTACAACTTTCCACTTTTTTGTGGCTAATATGCCTGTATTATTTGGTACAGGCAATCATTGACACAGATTGTTATCCTTGCAATGTTTGCAATTGATCTTCGCCTGACAGCAATAAACGCCTCCATATTTTGGAGCTCTCCATACTCGGCACATAGAAATATCTCTAGCTCGGCACGGAAGTCCATATTTTGAAGCAATTTTCACACTGGGCAATACACTACACCCTCGCCCGAGGGTCATAATACCGCAGCTCACGCCCTCGCTCGGAGATCATAATACCACAGCTCACACCCTCACACGGGGGTCATAATACCGTGACTTACACCCTCACCCGGGGGTTATAATACCGCGTCCTACACCTTTGTCCGAGGGTTATAATACCGTGGCCCATCGTTACAAAGACCTCCGATGTAGAACTCATGGCATTGCTTATGATATGATTGTTTAGAATTCATGTGATATAATTTCGGAGCAATCATACATTCACACATACATACATTCATACACGCATTCATACGTGTATTTGTTCATTTGTTTTGTTCCCGTATATATATATCCACAATGCTTTTTCTAATATTTTTTCAAGCAACATCGCTCGGCAATGCGATCCGAAAATAAGACCTACATCAACTACGCATTATCCATCAAAGATCTAGCATCTGTTTATGCCACAAAGTCAGAACAAAAAACTTCCACTTCTTGTGTGAAAGAAAGTGAAAGTTTTGGGGCTATTATGGGAGCTAGAAAAATATCCTAGCTGAAAGGGCAAAATATTCTAAACAAAATACCATTCATCCTCTATAAAAAAGAGGGGACCCCATACACAAGAGGTATGCCTCATTTTCCTTGCCACAGAGCACAACACTCTAAATCTTCATCTTCTCTCTTTGATCTATCTTGGCTAACTTTATCATCGAAGTGTCTCCGGCCGGCAACCCTAGTTAGGTGGCGCCGATCATGCTCATCCTTGCAGATCTACAGGAGTCAAGCTCATCTCTTTGTTGGATCTCATCAACAATCCATGTAAGAGGATTTTTTAGGTCTCACAAAGCTAATAATAATAATAATAAAAAAGCATTGGGCCATAAATCCACACATGATTTTTGAAAAGGAAAATTAGTCAAAGGTCCCTATTCCATTTTTAGTAATGGAAGAGATTCACAATATTTTTTTTATGATGTTTAAAATCCTTTCTCATATATCACAGAGAAATTTAACTCTCTCAAATCAAACTCATTTGTCTCTCTCTACCTTCTCTATTTCTTCTCTCTCTCTCTCTCTAAATCCAAACCTCACTTTACTCCTTCATAGCCTGGCACCTCACCAAGGAAGACAGAGTCTACAGCCTCCCTTGTCGCCGCCTCCTCCTTACCGGCCACTCTCACTTTGTCGAAGACGTCATTCTCTCTTTCAATGACTAGTTCACTATCTTCGGCAGCCAGGACTCCGAGGCTTTGTTTGGGATCAGAAAAATAGCAGAGAAGAGCCTGAGTCCTCAACGCAACGAGGGAGTCACCGAGGAGGGAGAAGATGAGGAGGAAGAAGAGAAACATGGCGGCGAAGAAGGCAGTGGATACTAGATCTAGGAGGCATCATTGCCTTGGGTTGCGCTTTGATGAGGGAGATTCAGGTGCCCCACCATCTCTGGTTTTGAATGAATTTCCAATAGCTGATGTTGATGATCATATAGATATAGATGGGTTGGGTGGTCTCAACCAGGCTTTGTTGCTTTAGAGTTTTGGAAATTGTGGGTCTTTCTCTAGAGATAAGGGAAATTTCTCTAGATTTTTGTGATTTTTTGTGAATTTCTCTGGGTTGGAAAGGAATTTTCTCTGAGTTTTTGTGAATTTCTTTGGGTTGAAAGGGAATTTTCTTTGGATTTTTGTGAATTTCTCTGGGGTTAAAGTGAATTTCTCTAGATTAAGAGAATTTCTCTAGGTTAAAGCGAGTCTAGAGAAATTCTGGTAAGATTTTTTTTTGTGAAGTCGAATTTTTTCTGAATCAATTTGAGGGACCTTAGATATTATTAAAATATTGAATTTTCTATATAGTCTTAATATTAAAGATCCTTAAAAAAAATCCTTTTTAAAATTTGAGAAATAAAATTTAGTAGAAATTAGATATTTTTATAAATAATTACAAACATTTATTTTGTAAAGAAAAAATATATCTTTATCCATTTAGTATTTTTAACTCATGAAACGTAATTTTTTTAACACGATACATAACAATTGAAAGAAAAATTATATCTCAGTGAAACAGATAGAAATGAAAAATTACGTAGATCATAAATTTTGAATTGCACCCCACCATACAAAGAGTTTTCTTTTTCTGACAATGATAATGTTAATATATTAATAGATAAATTATAATACAGATCAATATATGGGGTGCCTCTATTTACACACCACAAATTTTTTCAATAGATACCACTTGCTCAGTTCACACCATACACAAATTAAAAAATTTAATTTTATCTCAATACACACCACTAATTTTTAAATAATACCAAATTACCCTCTTTTTCTCCAACTAACCCTAATCCTAACCCTATCCTAAATCCTTACCCATCGTTAGCCGTCAGCCACTGACCACCACCCCTCTCCCTCTGTCATCCCTATCTGGCCTATCTTCTATCTTTCTCTTCTTCTTTATTGTCTAAATCTGGAAACCCTAGGGCTCTCTCTCTCTCTCTTCCTATGGTGGAGGAGACTAGGATGCAAGAGGGCTGAGTCGCGATGGAGAGGTAGGGGAGATGGATCATGATAGTGGAGGTAGGTGGTGGAGTTGTTCACGATAGAAAAAGGGGGAGCGAGGTTGTTTGCGATGGCGAGATAAGGGCGTACAACGGCGGAGGGGTGGACGACAGAGCTAGAGAAGGTGCAATAGGCCTGCGGAGAGAGGTTGGTGGTAGTTGCGATGGCGAGGATTGATGGCGATGGCGGCGGCGGCAACGACAGTGGTGTGTAATGATGTTGGAGTTGGGATGACCGCATCTAGGAAGATGTTTGAGGGCGAAAAGTAGAGGGAAAAGCCGTGGAGATGAGGCAACCGAAGGCAAGGGGCTGCGGTGTCGACGGCGGGGGTAGCAGCCTGCACTGACTATCAATAGGTTAGGTTAAGGTTTGTGGATGAAGGAAATGGAATAGAGATGAGGGCAATTTAAATATTTAATTGAAAGATAAAATTATAATTAAAAAATTATAAATAATGATATAAACTAAGAGTAATTGAGGTGTCTAAATAGAATCACCCCAATATATGTCACTAAATTCAAACTTAAAACTTTACCCTTCCGCTTCACTGCCCTTTCCATGACTAGTTAGGCTACAACCCGTGTCTCACTGCACAAAGAGTTGCCCCTAATGTTTTGCTGATTTTTTTAAATTTATTTTATTTTATTTTACACCCCAAAATTGTTATTTCTTTAAAATAACAATACAGTGGAGAAAAGAAAAAAGCAAAAAGAAAAAAGAAAAAAAAAATTATAGATTTGTGCTCCCTAGGCATTTTCTTTCCACTATCTTTTTTTCCCAAAAACCAAACGCTTGGCTTTAGGTCTCATCCAAAATCGAATTGCTCGGCTCTAGAGAGTACGCCCTCTCTCTCTCTCTCTCTCTCTCTCTCTCTCTAGCTTCGTTTCGCTGTTCCAATCGTTCTTCACTTGCTGCTTTTTTATTATTCTTGTGTGTTATTAGTATTTTTTGTCAATTTGATTTGTGTATATCTGTGTATTCAACTTTCTATAATAGGCGTCCTAGATTTTTTTTTTTTTTTGCCCTTTTGATTTCTAGTTTAAATTATTATATACACTTGTTAGTATTTCTTTACAAAGACAGAAGTTGAATAATTAGGTCAGGATCCCAATTCATTATGCTAAATCCAATCCACGAAATTGCAATCAGGCCATTGATTAAACTTGGGTTGGATTAAGCACCTCACATTATGGCATTTCGGAGTTTAATGAATCTTCCACTAATTTGATGGGATGCCTAAGAGCATCTCCTCCAAGGCTTCATCAAAATTGTTATCAAATTTGAGTAAAAATTTGATGAGAAGTTTGATCTGATATAATGCATTCCAATAGTTTCATCATCCCAAAACCGGTTGTTTGGGAGGTTGTCCACCCAGTCGTCCACCAACGGTCGCCTACAAAATTTGATTCCCTTCATTTGATGAAAAAACTACTGCGCCCTTCATTTGATACTAATATGATGAAATAGTTGGAGCACCGTTTTCATCAGTTTTTTTGATGAAAGATTTGATGAAATGGCCTAAGACTAAGACATTATCTATGGTTAAAGTTTGTTGTTCCTTTATCAATTTTTGGAAGGATTTGATTTTATCTATAATTAAACTTTATTGTTCTTTAATTTTGTATTTGTGAAAGGAAATTATCTGAAGTACGGACCAAGCATGGCAGAACTGAGCCTGGGTGTTCTTATAGATATTGTTGATGAGGAATGGATGCGAGACACTCTTCCTGATGATGGTAAATGGGTTATAGATATTCTTATTAACCTTATTCTTCATTTTTTGTTCCCCTGTTTTCAAATTTACAAGCATACGGCCTCAATATAATGGTAAGTCCCAACAAAATAGGAAAATTCCTTACAAGTAGTTGACAAACTTAAATGAGTTACAAATCAGGAGATAAGATAACCTACCTGAATAATTAAAAATTAGGAAAGAATAAGTAAAAATCTAAACAGAAATTGTGTCGAACTCCTATTAAAAAGAGAATGTATCAACTCCTCCCCCTTAAATTTCACCCTTGATTATCTCTTGATATTCCCATGTTGCATCAACAGAAGATAAGCCCTTCCAATGAATCAGAACTTCATGCATATCATTCCATATTCGACGATCAAGAACAACTTGTGGTATTGGAAAATTCTTTTCTTCTTCCATACTCACCAAAGGCAGGCTTGACCGTAACATTATCTCCTATCATCTTCTTCAATTAGAGATACATGTAACATTGGGTGGATCTGGGAACCTGATGGAAAATCCAATTTATAAGCTACTACCTCTATCCTCTGTTGAATATTCAATGGACCATAATACTTGGCAAATAGCTTGAAGTTGCTTCTCATTGTCACAAAGAGTTGCCTATATGGCTATAGTGTCAAATACATCACATCCCTAATTGAAAATTCTCATTCTTTATGCTTAGTCATAGACTTGCCTCATTCTAGATTGAACTTCTCTGATCTTCTCCCTTAATTTCTTGATAATGCCTATATGGCTATAGTTACCAATCTAATAGTTCTGGAATACATAAAATGCAGGCAAATCAATTTTTATAAATGGGCATACGTCTGGCGCATTTAGAAAGATTATATTAATGTGTACTTTTGTGAGGCCTTGTTTTGAATCAGTTGTTTGTTAAAATAAAGTTTGTTTTAATTGTTTGGAATTGTCCTCCTTTTGCTGCTGCTTTCCTGTGTATTCTTTTCCATCTTCTGTGAAGAAGTTAAATTTTACAATAACGCTGCAGTGACCAAATTTGATTATCAAACTTTGGATACCATCTGATGTGTCATTAATGCTTTGGTAAGGGCCCCCACCTTTCACGTCTTATTCAAATGCATTAGTGAATCATTAGATGGCATCCAAAATTTAGTCGCCATATCATGATTGTAAAATTAAGCAAGTTGAAGTTTTTGTAACAAACTACAACTATGCACGGAGTTGTTGCAAATGGATTGCAAAACTACATCTTTTGAGAAGAATTTGTACTCTAGTCATGTTGTATTCAAGGTGTATTCAAATTGAAGCTTGTTCCCTGTTGTGTATATAGCTATTATCTTCCTGTTGGGTTACTTCACTGTTTTCCACTGAATTTTCTCTGTTCTTCAGATCAGGAGAATCAACAAGTTGAGGGAGATACTTGGCATGATCTTGCTTTGGGAACTCATTCTCAATGAGACTTACTGTGCAATTGCGGGCTTTGATTCTAGTTTTGACCAAAAGACTTGATTAGTCGTTTCTACCAAAGTAGTTGGTTGTTTTTTGTGGGTTTAATGCTTGTAATTGAAGTTCTGCTTTTATTTTCTTTTTCCTTTTATCGTTTGTGAAAAACTTGGATCTGATGTTCAGGTAGATGTGGATTGTAATAACCGGCTATACTCAAGGTGGGTTTATAAGTTCTATTGCATGGCTCTGAGGGATTGTTTTGCATTTGATTTATGTGAGCTGCACCTTTCCATCAAGCAACAGATGAGATAATCCTTTGTTTTTTTTGGTCTCTTTTTCTGTTTGTAATGTGGTCCAATTACAGACCCGCAAATGAAATGATGGATTGAAATTTGTATCTTCCTCGGTTCCGCTCTACAACTGGGCTGGCGTCTGATTAACTGCTGCTTCATTCGCTTTCTAAATCAGAATATAATGTCAGAAAGTAAACAAATCCCCAACCATTTAGAGCATTCACAGTGGGATGACTAAAAAAATGTGTTCCGGTGTGTTATATGAAAAAAAAGTGATAAAAGTGGGGTCTAAAAATGTGTGTTAAGAGTTTGTTAATTTTAGAGAGTGAATAGTGTTACAATGTGTGTTAAGATGTGTGTTAAGAATATATATATATAATAAATAAAATAAAAAAATAATTTAATTTAATCAAAAATTTTGAGCCTAAAAAAATAAATCTCAACAAGTAAAAAATTAAAAATAAAAAATTCGATTAACCGTCTAGAAGTCCAATCGGTTAAATCCAATTTTTTTTTTTTTTTCCTTTTCTTGAAGGGTCCAGACGTCCGGGATAAATTTCTGGCCGAACATTCAGAAGAACTTCTCCAGGCACACATCTCTCTTCCTTCGTTAGCTAAAATACTGGCCACAGTTAACACACAAGTTAACAGCCGATACTAACACCCAATACTAACACATCCATTGCAACACCCAACAGTATTTTTGACTGACCAAAAACTAACACCTGACACTAGCCCTGTTTGGTAGAGCTGTGGGAAAGTGTTTATAGCTTATACCTAAACAACTTATAGCTTATAACTATGAACATAAGTTGATTTCTGACTTATAAATTAAGCATCTCCTGCCCCACTCAAAGAATAAGCTGATTTCTGACTTCCAAAAAGCTATAAGCTATATAAGCTAAACCAAACACATCAAAATAACTTAAATTAAGTTGAAAGCTGAAATAAGCTGCTTTTAAGTTCTGCCAAACAGGCACACTAACACATTCACTAACGCATCCATTGTGGATGCTCTTACACTGTTAGCCTGTGTACTAGTATTGGTATTTAAATAACTAAAATGTAAATAAATATCAAAAAAATCTGTATAGGTATATTTATTATATATTCGGCTAAGAGATGATATATGATAATATGTATTATTTACATATATATAGTATTGGTATTTAAATAATTGAAATGTAAATAAAAACCGAAAATATCCGTGTAACAGTACATTTTTTTTTATATATATTCAAATACTCCCAAAAAAGCAAATTATCTGGTTCGTTTCGAATATAAATAAATAAATCAGCAACTCCAACAGTCAATTCCAGAGCTTAAAGGAATGCTTAAAATTAACCAATCTGCTTTCAGAACTAAGAAAGCAATCAAAAAAGAAAAAATAAATAAAAATGCACCAATAAAAAAATTCAAAACTTTTCACATTGTCGACTTTATTATTGTGGTGAGCTATTCGATCTCACAGGTAGAATTAAACATACAAAATATTACCACCAACTAACCTCGAGGGATCTCCATCTCGAGAACAAATTTGGTTCCAAGATGACAAATACTAACAAAAATTCTCCGAGAAGCAACCAGGCCAATCTACAAGATCTCGCAAGATCCTCTCAATAACGTAAAAAGGAGAGCATTTGAAAGTTTGGATCATACAAATTCACTGTAAAATTACTGCTCTAAGCTGATTCTACCACATTGATGCAAGAAGCATCAGACGAGCCACAAGAACTTTGGGATGTATGGTGCTTGCTCGTGTGTGGAAGATACGAGTAAGCAATCACAGAAGTCCCAATTGCCACGGATAGCCCAACACAACCCCATAACCACCTCCGTCTCTGGGTCTTTCTCCTTTGTCGCTGCCTCCGTGCAACCTCTGCATAATTTGACATTAAAGATCGAATGAATCAAGTGAAAAACTGAGCCAGAACAACAGTAAAATGTACAAGGGGCATGAAAACAGGTGACATTTTGAATGTTTTAAACAAGATGAATTTAAAGGTTTGTTCAACAGAGGTTCACAAAGGGAAAAAATTGCAGAAGTTGGGAAGTTTGTTTTTTTCCCCACCTTGATTATAGTAAATACTAAAAAAAGTGGAAAACCATAGATTGACAAAGAACCATCATTAGAAATAGCTCTAACATAGCAATGTCAAGACGTACAAGCATCCACTACATGCAATGTTCTAAGGAGAAAAGGTCAATATTCATTACAGAAGAAAAAAATTTTGATATTGTCCACATAACATTAACACCAAAGTTCTCAACTGTCCTCTATGGATTTATTGTAAACTGAAGAACATGGGAAACCTAAACTACAAAAGAGGATCATGGAAACCTTAGATAAGGGACGGACAACTATTGTGAGATAAATAGGAGGGAGAAAAGAAAAAAAATTAAAAGTAGGCAATGCAACAAACTTGTTTAACTGGCTTATTTGGAGCCATTAAAGTTCAAAGATACATTAACACAATCATCTAGACACATACTATTATAAATTTAAAACACATGTATTAAAAGTTAATTAATGCGACTCTTGCACAATGAACTGTGAAGATAAAAAAACATTACATGCAAGTTGACAACTATGCAATCAGAAAAATTAACCACGGTTTAACCACGAAAACAGTGTTAATTTGTTGCCTAATGTTTATTGATAGAAATGATGACACAAAGATATCAAACACTTTAAGAATTGTCAAGATATTGACAGGCCACCTTTCTTGGAATGCTTTGAAAAATAAAACATCAAGAAAACCAGATTAAGATGACCAAAGATAAGAAGAACATACCCATTACTTCCTGGTTCCTCTGGGACATTTCACGATTAACAGCTTCATAGTATTGCAGCCTGTCTCGCAATCGGGAGATTTCCTGGTCTTTAGATTCAATGATTACTTCTGCAGCTATTTCAGCCTCAGCACGTGCTTGACCCCTTCCTATTGCTTCAGCAACAAATCTAGTAACTAGTAGTTCCTGGCACAATTGCTCTAACGAATCAATCTCAAACTGCATACTAGTGGCATTTGGCGCTGTAGGAAATGTTAGCCCCACTTGGGATAAAAGATTGCCTAGCCTCTGCCACTGAGTGTACATTTGGCCAACAGCATATTCTGCAGCCTTTCGTTTCTCAATCTCCTCAAGCAGACTGAGTCTTGTGGCACGCAGCTCCGATTCAATTCTTGGTCCATAAGAAGAAAAATTTGAAGTAGACCCATCAGTGGAGAAATCTGCACATATCAGTTACAACAAAAATGTGTGATAAATCGAGATTGTTAAATCTGAAGGCACTCTCTCAATTCTATTGTAAGATGTTCTAACAAATGCAGTGAATTATGTCGGACATCTTGATCAAGTTAGCCCATAAAGTCATAGAAGACAACAATAAAGTTTACCATCTTGATTTCTGAAAACTGTAACGGCAAACCTCATCTTGTTCCTAAACCCAGAACTAGAATAACAAGTTAACACAAACGACATTATTTCTCCGTTTGTCTCTGTCTCTGTCTCTGTCTCTGTCTCACTCACCAGATTTATCTGTCTATATGTTGTAATTAAAAAATCCAGACAAATTTGAATGATTAGCCTCTGTTTGGCAAGTTGGTTCTTGGGCTTTTTTGGCTATTTTAGCCACAAAAAACAAAATAGGCTATTTTAGCCATAACAAACAAAACATCACATCCAACCCATAATCATTACATTCTTCTCTCACAAAAAAACTCAAAAAAGCCAAAAAGCCAAAAAGCCCTTCCCAAACCAAGCTTTTAAGTCCAGGCTAAAATAGCCAAAAAAGTCAAAAAGCCAAAAAGCCAACCCACTTCCCAAACGGAGGCTGCACTCTCTCAATTCTATTGTAAGATGATCTAACAAATGCAGTGAATTATGTCGGGCATCTTGATCAAGTTAGCCCATAAAGTCATAGAAGACAACAATAAAGTTTACCATCTTGATTTCTGAAAACTGTAACGGCAAACCTCATCTTGTTCCTAAACCCAGAACTAGAATAACAAGTTAACACAAACGACATTATTTCTCCGTTTGTCTCTGTCTCTGTCTCTGTCTGTGTCTCACTCACCAGATTTATCTGTCTATATGTTGTAATTAAAAAATCCAGACAAATTTGAATGATTGTAAAGATGTTATTTTCTCAATTTTTTTTTTTCTTTTCTTGTAAATAAATTTATGTACTAAATATACGAGTCCATGTGGGTATGGTTATATGCATGCCCAGATGCATATATATTCATGCAAGAAGAGAAAAGGATATGCAAGGAGCATACAGGAAACAAAAGTAAATAAATAAACATATAGACACTTCACAAAAATTCCAAGAATTCACTCTGAAGTTCTCTACCCTTTCAAATCCCTTCTCCCGAGTCCCGACCCATCCACAGAGAGAGACCAAATGTATGAGCTAGTAAACTAAGAAAAATCAGAAAAGACCCACATAAAAGGCGTAATAAACATCTTCTCTCTCTGCCACTCTTAGAGGAAGTAATATATGAGACTACAAAAGGTTAAATCCATGTACATGCTGGTCCACAACCAACTATAAGCAAAATTCTATGTAGGATAATTAACTCCAGCCATCTGACTTCTGTCAGACACATCACTAAATGGATAACAAGGAACCATCCTCAACAGCCCTTGCAAGCAAGATATATAGAAGTTCCATAGTACATCCATTATGCCAAACACCTGCTTATCCCACTAAACAAGCCTCCCTATGCCTTACTTCTGACCACCAAAGCCTGAATCAACAAAACTTATGCCCCAAAGGAACAAGAAAGTTGCTTTGTCTAATTTGTTCGACGAAATCTATAGAGATTTAATGTGTAACGTCTAAAGGTTCTTCATCAACAAAGACTCCAGAACCCAACAATCATTTCAAGACAACAAAACCCAACATTGCTAAAAGAACTAAGCACATGCCTCCCCATTCTAGCTTGAATTTCACATTTCCAATTGAATGGCCTTTAAGAGTTAACTGACTTTCTAAGTTTCAAAACTCTTCTATCTACCCTTAATCTCTCAAACGATCAAATTTGTTCATACTACTCTTTCTTTTAGGGCCTAAAAGTGAAGGCTAAAGCTCTTACTTTTTCACCTTAAACTATCCAACTCTGGTTCCATCTGGAACCATTTTTGTCGCACTTAAGTTTGTTTTTGCCTAGGAGACACGGGAGATTGACAACTAATCATTTGATTTTCTAAAGAATTGACCAAAATTAATTGCAACGCTGTGTGCATAGCCTTTTTCATGATGGGGACATTCTATTAATCTATAGCTGTTTTTGCCTCTACCTGGGAAAATCTATGCCTCGCAGCTTAGGCATTTTTTGGAACCACTAACAAATATTCAAAAGCTATGCAGATCCATCTCTGCCCTAGTCAATGCATGAGAGCACCTGAACACCCCTCATTATTTCAAATAGCCATCGCATCTCAACTCAACTGAGCTGTTAGAATCTACATACATCACATGGCACAATATATAGAAGAACAAAAGTAAAAGAGAAATCAACCCTTGCAACTGAGCTCCCAATGCTGTGATATGGCATGAATAGAAGTAGAAATGATTGACTGATCTTGTTCAAGTGGCTGGCAGAGTATTTATCCACAAAAAAAAAAAAAAAAGGTGGCTGGCAGAGTAAATGACAAACTTTACCTATTTTGGAAAGATCAAGGTCACAATTATTAGTTCATTGACAATGCCCTTTTGTTGATTCTATCTTTTGATTTCTAATATTATTTTAAAAAATGAATTTCTCACTATACAGTCTATACACATAATAGACATCCATGACTTTTACAAGTTTCGGCAACAACAGTGACACAAAATTAGGCGAAAACACTAACAGTTCCATGATTTAATCCTTTATATTCTATTGTAAGATGATCTAACAAATGCAGTGAATTATGTCGGGCATCTTGATCAAGTTAGCCCATAAAGTCATAGAAGACAACAATAAAGTTTACCATCTTGATTTCTGAAAACTGTAACGGCAAACCTCATCTTGTTTATATATTTATAACAATGTTTAAGGGATATCTGACAGTCAATTGTGCAAACCCTAGCACTGAATCAAGACAATTCTTTTCCAATAGCCAAATCAACATGGATACTGAAGAACAAAATTCAGATAGACTAAACACAAAGATGAGAAATAACTAACCTTCACTGGCATCAAAGAATTCGCCTTGATTAGACACAAAGCTCGGACACCCAACTTGCTTCCCAAAATCATCAACCCCAGCAGAGCTACCAACACTTACCGACTCACATCGAGGATCGAAGAAATCATCCACCACCGCCACCACAGAACCTCCATCTCTGTCCTCACCACCAGTCTCCATACCAAAAACACCATCATCCACGACTTCTTCAACAACAACAACAACATCACCATTTGAATTCGAATCGGTCTCACCATCTGGAGGAGACTTGAGCTGCGGAGTCTCATCAAATCCGCCGGCACGACGAGCGACGGCGTCTCCGCCGCGCCGCTTGTGGTTGACGACATAAGGAGAGGGCGAGAGGGGAAAGGAAGAGTCGGGGATCGGAGCTGGTGCCGGAGTTGTATACAGAGCCGGTGATATGTATATGTGATTCGGGGTTTGAGTCCTCTTCTTGTTCTTCTTCTCTTCTTCGTCTTCATCATCAACAACAATGGAAGATTTGGGGATTTGTTGCTGCGAATTCAAGGTGTTTTTGAAGGAATCCCGAACTCTGGGTTCGAGCAAGGTCTCCCAGGCGAGGGTTGAAATGGAAGGCATGTTTGGGACTCTAGAGAGAGAGAGAGATGGTGTTTCTGTCACACCTTTCTGCTCTGTCCCCAACGGGAATCTAGCGCTCTGCGGTGGCGATGATATAAATAGCAGGCTGAGCTCCGCCGCCACGGCGAGGGTTTTTTCAGAGACAGTCGCGCATATATATATATATACACGATAGCAAATGTTAACGAGTGCTTCAATGGCAACTCTTTAAATAGAATAAAGGGTAAATTCCAAATGCATGCCATTTGCTTAAAATATAAATTATTTTTTTAAGAAAAATATAAATATTTTTTATTTAATATAATTAATTAAAAAATAAAATTTATAATTATTTTTCTATACAATAATAAAATTATTTAAATTATTAATTGACTTGATAATTTATTAATAAAAATAGTAATTTATTCTGAAATTAAAAATCTCATGAGATAGAATGTAATTTTCAAAACTAAAAGAGGCAATTCGTATTTTAATCAAATCTTATAGAGTGTATTTATAATTTATCCTAAAATAAATTTTTTTTTTTTTAAAAGTTGCTTCATGGATCCTGTTTAATATTATAAAGTTTGTAAAATGTGTTTTAAGAATATGAAAAATGTGAGAGATTTATTAATTTTAATAAAAGTGTATTAAATTTAGTGAGAAGTGTATTTTTAGCCTGTACTCTTAGACACATGTTACAATATTTTGCTTGTATATATGATATGCATAAAAATGAGGATAATATATTATATACAATACTCATGTGTCTGAAGGAAATATGTTAACGAGACCCTAGTTGGTTATGACATATTAAAATGTTAATTATAACACATTTTGATATTAATTATGATATTATTTTAATTATTATTTAAAAAAAATTAATTATACCTTATGCGGGTTTAATTATAACTCATATATGTATATATATATATATTTTTTAATTATGACTCTTACAAGATTAATTTATAATATTTATAATAATTAACCCTATAAATATAATAATTAAACCTGCATTTACCTAAGTGTTTGCCGAGGTCCAAATAATTCTTTAAGAACAAGTTTCAGAATCAAGAATAAAGATGGGCTATCAAGAACATAACAAGTACAAGGGGTACAAAGTGCAAGAAAATGGTGAATAATGCGTGTATTCAGGACATGGGCAAGGGCAAAATCGTGGAATAAAACACACTCAGATATGAGGTTCACAAATCAAATGTTTAAACAAAGCAGTAATGGCAACTAGTTGTGGGGATATATTTTCTGAGTACCAATACGTGGTTAAGGTAACGCCGATGTGTAAACCGAGGTGCCACGTGTCCTAGTCATGACATCGAGGATATCGGAATCCGAGATAAACGGATAAGGCATAAGAGTCCTAGAAAGGGGAAGACTACAGTTGGGAAAGGATAAGACTCTTAGGGAGTTTATCCCAATCCTACTGGGAGTCCAAGATTGATAGTAATTCTAAGTTCATTAGAGGTAGGCTCTTGTTGGAACAATGATTGAGTTAGCTATAAAAAAGAGACACCCCCGTGGGTCTAAGGTACGCAATTTCATATTCTGAACAGTGAGATTTGCACTATTGATTATCTTTGAGAGATATACTGACTTGATCGTCGGAGTACCCCCGGGTGGACGAACCACCGCCAGAATCTTCTCTTTCTGTTACAGGTCAGCCAGGTGTCATCTATTCTGCCAGTGTTCTCCAGCTGAATACTAAGTTGGGCAGTGTGATCGGAAAATCACTCACACAATTTGGCGCCGTCTGTGGGAACGAAAGAAGAATAGATGGCCAGTAACGGACAGAAGGAAAAGATTGGGGACGACACTCCTGCTGGGAGTGGGAGACCTATTGACCTTGATGTCGAAGGAGACGAATGTAACGCAGAAACTCATGACCAGAACCACAGAGTGAAAGACGTCGGCCAGACTGGCGACGCACCAAAGAAACCAGATCGAAGTAGATACTACAACGAGGACGACCTCCAGGTATGGAAGGATAGGTGCCTACGGAGGGACGAAGAGGTAAAAGAGATGGCAAACAAATTGGCAGACCTGCAGTCGGTCATCAATTTCATGATGCAAAATAACGTCATGCAGCCACATTCCCACTGCACGACACGCCGATTCTAGCGGCCAATGCCTAGAAGGGAGGACAGAGAACAATCCCCGTAGCCCCTCAGCACAACGGGAGCAAAAAATACTCTCACCGACCTTCTAGGGAAGTCGGACGAAGAGAGTCAAGAAGAAATGAATCACGGAGGACGCATCGCACAAAGAAGGTAGACCCCAAAGGACATCAGAATGTTTAGAGGCAAGCACTGTGCTTTGACACAACTCATGGAGAAGAGTCAAAGAGGACTCACCACGAAGCTGAAAGTAGCGCACCAAAAAGACTGAAAGAAAGAGATAGCCGAGCTCCTGGGCGGACGAAGAAGGACTTAAAAGATTACCTCAAGAGGAAGCAACAGAATGCCGATGCCAAGGTAACCTCCCCAGATAAGCCGAGGACACCGTTCTCGGTGGAATTGGACAGGTTTGAGGCACCGAAGAGATTCAGTATGCCGAGGTTTCAAATAAACGATGGTAAGTCAGACTCTAACTTTCACGTTTGACTATATTTGAACTCAATGGCATTGTATAGTGGGAACGAGCCGTTGCTCTGCAAAGTGTTCCCCTCATCTTTCGGGGAGATTGCATCAGATTAGTTCCACAAATTACCAAAGGGAAGCGTGAAGACTTGGGAAGGCCTAGCCAAGATGTTTGTGGCCAGGTTCGTGACAAACAAGCTGCAGCCACTAAGGGTGGATGCATTGATGGCTCTGAAAATCAGCAAGGATGAAGGCCTTAGGGCCTATGCAAAAAGATACTATGAGGTGTTCAACCGAATACCCAAATGCAATCAAGAGGTGGCGGTCGTATCTTTCAAGAACGGTCTGAAAGATAACTGTCCACTACGAAAGTCTTTGGCAAAGACATTGCCAAAAAGTATGGAAGAGCTCATGGCGAGAATCGAGAAGTATGCCAGAGCCGAAGAAGACACATCGGGGATTAAGGAGATAAAACAAGAGAAAGGAAACGGCTCGCCGAAGCGAGGCCGAGGTAACAATGGATCAAACAAACAAGAAACAGAACTGAGGGCCACAGAGGCAGTAACAACTGTGTTCCGAATCCCGATTCCTAAAGTCCTGGACTGAATTTGGAACCAACCCTATTTTAGAACACCAGCGAAGGCACCAGGAGAGTTTATGGGAATGAACATTGGCAGACATTGTGCTTACCACAATGAAGATGGGCGCACGACTCAGGGTTGTAGAGCCCTGAAAACACACTTGGAAGAACTAGTGAGGCAAGGCCATCTGAGAGACTTCATCGATGAGGCCAGGACAAGAGAAGAACAGGCAAGATTGCCTCAGGCGGTAGCAGCTCCGCCTTCCCCAGTACCACAACCTCATACAGGAGGACCTCGAGTAGTTAATGTGATTCACTCGAAGGTCAACGAGAACGAAATTAGGGGGGAGACCGAGAAGGTGAAGCACCTGCAACATGTCTACCAAGTCGGGGAGAAGAGACATCGGGCAGAGGAGCGCCAAAGACCAGTAATGTCCTTTTTAGAAGCCGACCTTGAGATGGTACAGCATCCGCATAATGATGCCTTGGTAGTATCCCTCCAGGTTGGGGAGTGCCAAGTAAAACGCATCTTGATTGACCAAGGCAGCTCTTACGACATCATGTACGTTCGATGTTATAAGGAGCTTGGCCTTCACCCAGACGATATGGAGCAATCCAATAGCCCAATGGTCGGGTTCAATGGAACACCGATATGGCCACTTGGAACAACCAGCTTGAAGGTGCAGGCGGGCACCAAGAAGGTAACAACAAAGTTCACCGTAATCGACGCACCCTCCCCTTACAACATCACCAGGAAGGTAACAACAAAGTTCACCGTAATCGACACACCCTCCCCTTACAACATCATCTTGGGAAGGCCTTGGTTGCATGCAATGGGGGCAGTTTCCTCAACATTGCATCAACTATTGCGATTCCCAACAGAGCATGGGATAGAGGAAGTCAGAGGCGATCAGCTGTAGACGAAGAATTGCTCCATGGCAGCAATGAAATCTACCTGCAGCATATGAGAGCCAGAAAAGGCAGAAATTGAAGATGAGGACGTGAAAGTCCTTGAAGATGTCGGCAAGGAGCCAACTGAGAAGAGCGAAGAGGCACTGAAGAAAATCCTCGTCCAGGATGGGGATGAAGAACGCTTATTTCTTCTCGGCTCGGGCTTAGCCGAAGAAGAGGAAAAATAGTTTGAAGCTTTTTTTAGAGCAAATATTAAGGTGTTTGCTTTGACACCTTACGAAATGCCTGACATTGACCCCGAGGTCACTTGCCACAAACTGAATGTTGACAGGTCGGCCAAACCTGTAATTCAACGAGCCAGAAAACCAACGTTGATGCACGTCGAAGTAGTAGAGGAAGAAGTAGATAGACTTCTGGAGGCCAGGACCATTAGAGAAGTTCACTACCCGACATGGCTATCCAATACAGTAGTGGTGAAGAAGAAGAACAGTAAATGGAGGGTCTATGTAGACTTTACCAGTTTAAACAAAGTCTGTCCCAAAGACAGCTTTCCTCTACCCAAGATTGACCAACTAGTAGATGCCACTTCAGGGCATGGAAGAATGAGCTTCCTAGATGCCTACAAGGAGTACCACCAGATAGCCATGTATCCCCCAGACGAAGAGAAGACCGCGTTCATCACCCCAAAAGGCCTGTACTGTTACAGAGTAATACCTTTTGGGTTGAAAAACACAGGAGCAATTTACCAAAGGTTGGTAACCAAAATGTTCAAACACCTGATTGGCCGAACAGTAGAAGTCTACATCGACGACATGGTCGTTAAGACCAAGGAGCCAGAGGGTCATCTTGCTGATCTAAAAGCAGTCTTTGAAATCCTTAAAACATATCGGCTCCGACTCAATGCATCGAAGTGTGCATTTGGAGTTGGATTTGGTAAGTTTTTAGGATACCTGGTGACCAGAAGGGGCATCGAGGCCAGCCCAGATCAGATCAAGGCCATCTTAGAGTTAAAGAACCCGACGTCGGCAAAACAGGTGCAGATGCCAACTGGAAGGGCCGCAACCCTGAACAGGTTCATAAGCAGAAACTCAGACAAGTGCAAACCT